GAGCTCTCCTGTCCCAAGGGTTCCTTTTTGCAGCTTTAGCTTCCTTGGCTTCATCAACCTCCTCCTGTGTTAATGGTCTTCTTCTGAGCAGATCTTTTAATCTGAGGACTTCATTTGCAGGGAGCCATTTCTCAGCATCCTTCAATAGATCGCTGATGATTGCAACTAGGGAGTTGATGGTGGACCTCATCATGGTTCTGCCAGTGCGAAAATGGATGACTTGTTTTTCACCATCCAGCAGCCTCATTTCGAACTCATAAATTTTCCTCTCCAGGTACGTTCCAAAGGCCCGGATGGCTTCTTTGGTTTCCTTACGTTCCTCAGTTTGTTTGGAGATGAGCCTGTAGAGTAGGAGCTCTGCTGTGTGATTGCGCAGAGAGTTGGAAAGGATTAGGGAGTTAACGGCTTTCGTAATTTCTCCTTGGACTGCTTGGAGTGTTGATGTGTATGATGTAGCATTGGCTTCCTGGATGGCTGTCCTTATGGTGTTGAGTTGTTGCTCTCTCTTCCTTCTGCTGTTCCTGGAAGGTGTTGAAGGCAGAGGAGAGCTATGCCAGTTCGTCCCTTAGAGCCTACAGCTCTACATTGGTGCTTGTCATGTCAAGTTGGGGAACAGATTTCTTTGCTGGCAGCCATTTTTCTAACTTTTCCCCCAGCATTTCAAAGATTTCAGCAATCCCAATTTGCGATTTTCTTCTAGCTGCGATGGGGATTGCTGCAGTAGGGGACGAAGTAGGTTGCTTCTTCTGCTGGCTACTGCCAACAGTAGAAGGCACAACGGGTGTTGTGCTGGGTTCATCCACTGGTGGTCTGGATGATGAGGGCATGGTCACAGCTTGTTCCTCCATCAGTGGAGGAATTGCCATCCCTTCTTCTTCTGCCAAGGTTCTGGCAAGAGATTCTTCCCCAGAAGTATCAGGACGGATGACAGGGTATGACAGAGGACCTCCCAGATTGATCTGCCTGGGACCTGTTGTCTTTGCTTTCTTCTTAGGGGGTTCTATGAGAATCCCCTTTGCTCTGTCATTTTTCTTCTGTGGTTGAGCCTCTTGCTCATCCATTGATATCTCTGCAGCAGATGCTGCTTCTTTTTCTGTTCTTCCCTCTCCTTGTTGCTGCCTAGGAGAGGGTTGTGGGGTGATTTGACTTGGTGGAGAGTGAGAAGGTGGTGGGGACGGAATGTCAGAAAATGTAGAGTCTGAGCTGCTTGGGGATGTCTCCTTGGCAGCTGGTTTGGGTGCTGACATTCTGCCAGCCTTCATACTTTTTGCCAAAGGCTCATTGTCTTCACTTTCCTCCTCCTTGACAGAGAGGGTGATAGGTTTTGCAGAGGATGCTCCCTCTGGCCTGTTGCTGCTGAGGACCCTCTTTAGCCTCTGACTCGAACGTTCCCCCTTTCTTAGGGGGGCTTTGGCAGGAGATTTCTTCTTGCCCTGTTTACCATCAGTAGCAGCAGAGGCATCCTTCTTTACCTTGGTGGGAGGAGGGACAGTTCTCCTTGCTGGAACGTGGGCAAAAGAGGAAGATTTTGAAGGAGTCATCTTGGTGGCCTTCTTCCGTGAGACCACAGGGGTTTCCTCTTCATCATCACTGGTGGGGGAGCGTCTTAGATTGGCAGGAATAGGTTGGGTGGTGTCAATGTAGGTGCTTTTAAGACCGTTCCAGGTCTTAGCATCAATGATAGATGCCACCCGTGTGATGTCATCTGGGTGTTCCTCTACACCAGCTTTCAAAGAGAGCTTGGTGATGAGGCAGGGGAGGCAGACTGTGGTCTTCCTCATGTCCTTCTTCAGGCTGTTATAGATTAGAATTACTGCATCAAAAGGAATGTGCTTAACGATGCAATAGATTTGGACTTGTAGCCCTCAACTAGCAGAGGCTTCATGAGTGGTGTGAGTGATGTTGGAATTTGCAAACAGTGCCCAAAACCGAGCTATGTCCTTCATGCTCCCCTTGCAGAGGGACCCTTTGTAGTAGTTGGGTTTGTCGAGGGCTACTGTTTGTTTCAGGTCCTTTTTGAAGGAGAATACCTCCCTACTGTCCAAGTACTTCTGGTATGGACAGTTGGTGACGGTGGGGAGGTAGAGCACTTCCTGGACATCAGTGGGGGAAAATGATACTTGTTTTCCCCTCACCGTGACCACATCAGGGGCATCTTCTTCGGGCAGCCTCCTTATCTGGTACAGGAATTCTCCCACTAGGGAGACATTCACTTTACGGTCATCAGTGGCAAAACGCAGCCACTGGAGCTTGATTAAGGACTGCTTTACAAATGAGGGCAGAACCAATTTTTCCTGCTGCAAGGAGATGTTCTTCTCTGGGTATAGATGAATGATGGGTTCGGTGAGTTCTGGTTCTTCGCCACGGTTGGCCACAAGAGTCACCTTGATCGAAAGCTTAGTCATTTTTAGCAGAAAAGAGGCTAGGGCACAATGCAGAGGAAGAAAAGATTCTGAGTTGAATGGAAATAGTAAAACTCAAAGGTAGCACTGACTGAGTTTAAATAGACAATGGAGGAGTAAACGAAGAGTTTTCGGGACGTGGATGTTAAGGATAGGAGGTTGAGGAGGTAGTGGAATAGGGACATTACAGAACGAGTGGTCAGCAGTTACTGGTTTGTAACTGATGATGATGAGTGTGGGGAAATGGAACGGTTTAGGTCAAGACGTGGGAGAGAGGGAAAAGAAAAGGGTCTAGTTGTCTTAATGGTTGAGGAGACAGTTGCTTTTGCTGAGCACGTTTCCAAGATTTGCAATGAATCCGAATTAGATATGGCTGCATATCTTTTTAAGTGACTCAGCAGTGACAGGTGTCCCAGTCACTCTTATCTCCTAACCCAGGGAACGTTCCCTTTGTCTTTTCCTAACTAATAAATAATTAACTAAATAAAAGGAAAGAAAAGGAAACATACAAAAGTGTTTTATTGGAGATTTAATCTAACTAAGGAAAAGGGAACATACTAACCTATCACCTATTACTTATTATTTGTTAAAATGTTAACTTTTCAAAAAAAAAAAAAATATATATATATATATTTAATTGGGATTGTGTGGTCAGGGACCACCCCAAAACTACGTTCCTGGAACAGAACGTACTTTATTTGGACTTTCTGGAGTGGAACATCAGACGTTCCCTCCTTTTTGGGAGCTGTGTGGTTAACAGTAACCACCCCAAAACTTTGCTCTTTGTCAGAGAGCAAATGTAACCACTAGGTTGCCTCCCAGTCAGCGCTTAGTTTAATGTCTTTAGCTAGATATGGTACTTACCTCTCAAGTTGCTTCAGAAGTGGTCGAGGTAACTTCAGTGTCCCCTGGTAGTGATCCTGGTGTCCTTGTTTGGAGATTGGCAGCAACCTGTCCTAGATGGGACTCAATGTTCCTGACCACTGCATCATTCCTGGTGACATATTCCTTGACATAATTTTCCAGGGTGTTGATGCGTTGGTCCTCTCTGTGGAACAGAACGTAGTTGTTTCTCTTTTGTTCAAACGTTCCACTGCTGCTGCCTTGCTGATACTACTGCTGATTGTTGAATGGTCTTTGGTTCATGGGTGGCCTCCATTAGGTGTTGTGGTTCTGATCCTTAATGATAGTTCCTCCAGGGCTTGAATTTGTATTGTGTCCCGCTTGTTGATTGTCTCTAGTGAAGTTCCTGTTGCCAAAATTTTCTGCATAACACACCAATGCAGTGGATGGGCACTCTGTTGAATCAGGAAGGTCACCACAGGCTGAGCATGGTTCTGTCTCAGCTGCTATGAGTTGTAAGACTTCCATCATTGGTGCTGATTGGTCAGCTTTCAGGTTCTTCACTTCATTCATGAGTGATGCCAGCTGGGCTTCCCTGGTGGTTTGTTTATCCAGTTCTAGCATGTCTAGCTTCCTTACTGGGCTCACCCTGTCTATTGGCCATTGGAGATATATTTTCGCAGTTCCTTCTATGATTTCATACCTGGATTCAAGTGTTCCTGTATAGAAATATCCTCCTGCAGCAAAATCTAAGTGAGATTGAGAAGTATGGTCAAGTCCCTTATAGAAAGATTGTAACACTCCCCAACTCTCTACCCTATGGTTTGGACATTTCCTGATGATGTCCTTATATCTCTCCCATGCTTCATAGAGATTTTCTCCATAAAACATTCTGAAGTTAGAGATTTCTGCCCTAACATCATCTTGTTGAGACATTGGGAGAAACCTCTCTATCAACTTGTTAGAGAGCTCCTCCCATGTGTAGATTGACCCAGTGGTGAGAGTTTTCATCCATGTTTTTGCCTTTAAGCCCAAGGAGTGAGGGAACAACCTCATTCTCATGCTTTCCTCTATCACACCCTCAGCTTTAAAATTATCAGATATATCTTGGAATGTTGTGAGGTGTGTGTAAGGATCTTCTGCAGGGAGTCCATTGAAGACCCCTGCTTCCCTAATCATGTGAAACATGATAGGTTTCAGTTAAAAATTTGGTGCTACAGGAGGGAGGATTACTCCCCTGTCTGGTCTGTTCCTGAAAGGAGCAGCCAAAGTTCTGAAGTTTTGTTCAGGAGGAGCCTCTTCATTATTATTACGATCAGCCATGTTTTCAAGGATTTCTTCCCTGAGGTTTCTCCTTCGTCTATGAAGTGTACGTTCTGGTTCAGGGTCGAAGAGAAACTCAGGTACTTCAATGGAGTGATCAGATTTTGTTTCAAACTCTTCACTCATAAACCATAAACACAGAGTATGTATGCATAGCAGTTTAAGTGACAAGTAAAAAGAAAAATAAGAGGTAAAGTTAGATATACAGAGTATGTACTAAAAACAGTAAATAAGAACAAGATTTAGTATTTCTATCCCCGGCAACGGCGCCAAAAACTTGTTGGGTGGTTTGTTGATGGTGGAAAAATATAAGTTCTGATAGGGGATGTTCCTCTGTTCTTGCAGAACACAGATTTGTTCCCTTAGTTCCAACCCAAGTGCGCAAGTGCACGCATCAAGTAATAAAGGGAGTATTAGTGCCCAAATTATCGTTCCCACGAGGATAGAGTTCTAATTATTGTCTTATACTGTTTTATAAAGAATGAAGATGAGAAGAAAAGTTAGTAAATGAACTGTATGGTCAAACGTTTCCTACTGTCTTGACAACGTTCCTCAGGAACAGTAGGTTCAATCTGGTGACAAACAATTGCTCGCTGCGTTATGTATGTGATCCTTCCTGTTTAGAAGAAGGTGAGATAATAATCATTGGGTTTTTATAAGTGCAAGAATAAATAAAGTAAAAACTACTGAGACAGAAATAACTGTAATCAAGAGACAACAGGGTGGTGGCTAAAATAGTTTAACAGAAGGAACAGATTTACTGCTCCACTCTTAAAGGAGCTATTTTCTCTGCTCAAGACTTAGCATTTTTTGGCTTTGTCCCAGTTTCTTGTCTGCCAACTCTGATTCCTCAGCTCATGGACTAGATGGCTCACAAGTTTCCATATTCCTATAGCTCCCTTGATTCTAACAGGTACTTAGAACAGAACCTTAAAATGGACGAGTTGTCCCCTTATTCCTAAGGTGACCAGTAGTGTTTTTGCTATAACACTACCTTCCCCCAATGGCTAAGCTGTCTGAAATCCCTTCCTTATGGAGTTCCTTTCTCAGTATGTGCCCAATTTCCATTGGTACACAATGAATATAGCTTACTTAGCCAGAGAAATACAAAAAGCTTCAGTCACGAGTTTTGAAAACAGTTCTTTAAGAGTTTCACAGTTCACCCGTTCCACGGATAGTTCAGCTCATGGCTGATAGTTTAAACAAAATTATTCCCAACTGAAATCCCATAGACCCAAGATTCAATTAAGAGATAATGAATGGAACGAAGAGAAAAGAACTTATATTAATTGAAAAACAGTTTACAAAAGAAACATAAAATGGAGAAAGATGAGTTGATGCTCGTGAGGAGTCTTAAGGGTTGATACAAAGAACAGAGATGGGTTGTCACTTAACTATAGTTACAACTTAAAAAAATCTTAAGTTACTAACTACTACTACTAGGTGATCTCTTCCTTTCGGACTTTAAACCCTCCAGGATTCGATGGTGTTTTTGTGTGGGGGTGGTCCTATTTATAGATGGAAGAGGAGTGGTAATGTTGTAAATCCTTTAGGGCTAGTTGCTTGACTGAGGGGACATTATGGTGGCAGCAGAGCGTGAAGATTGCGCAAATTGCTGGATGGAACAGGATTTGGTGATGATTAGCCGTTGTTTGCAGTCCTTCCCATGCTTTGTTTTCCTTTTCAGCCAATGAGAATTCTTGATTCTCTGCTGTTCACGTTTCCAGCTGCTCAGTTGGTGCACCGCCTCTGCTTTTAGAAGACTTTAACCTTACGTCACCTGCAAAGTGTACAGAGGCATTAAATGAGTGGAGCAGGTGCATTAAATGTGTCTCAGCCTGTTCCCCTTTTAATATATTTTAAAGGAATATGTTACCATTCGTTCCCCTACTGTGTTTTTGTCACAAATGTGTAAAACAAGTGATTTTCATGCCAAAGTTGCTCCTCAGATGAGGGAACATGTGGTATTTTGCCATCAAAATGGGCTTAGATAGGGACGAATTTACGTCCCATCAGATAACATGACCCTGCATATCATAAATATGAGAGGTGTTCATCCACCACTCATGAGCATCTCCCTCCAGCATGTAAGTAGCAACCATCAGCTTCTGGGAATCCGTGCACTGCATCACCCTGAATATCTTGTCCAGGGCCTAAAGCCATCTTGCAGCAATAATAGGATCATAGGATCCATCAAAGGAAGATGGCTTATG